AGTGGGTCCCGCCATTAATGATGTGATATTTTGGTCTTGGAGTTGTATTTTTTTTTTTTTTTTTTTTTTTTTTTTTTTTACTTTTTTAATGCATTAGTGCTATTAGTGGTGATATTTTTAGTGGAATGAATTATTGTTGTTTATTAATATGTTAACTCGTGGCAATTGATTTCAAATATTTTTAAAACATTAAGGTTGTATTTTTACTAATTATCTTAATTTTAAGTGTGCGGGGAGCAAATATTTCAGCAAGCCCGTATTCCTTTCTTCCAAGCTCCGTTTCTGTCTGATCACCTGAAAGCACAATGAGGGTGAGCTACCCGGCGGTGTGTGGCCGGAAAACCCCGCCGACGATCTAATTAGCACACACCTTAGGGAGAGGAGAGAGAGAGTTTGAGTGTAGGAGTTCTTTAGAACGTGTTCGTCTCCATCCGTATGGGGAGCGCAGACATGCTTATACACCCTTCTGCGTCCCAAACCTGCTCCCAATGGTCCCTCGACACGCGGCTCTGCTATCCCATCTGTCAGCACAAATCCTGTTGAGCGTCACCTAATCTCAACTGCCCGCTCACTCTATTGGGAACTCGGCAGCCGAGCTGCACCATCTTGTCCGCCAACGGTCGTGCTGTGCTTCGTATCCAAGCACTCCACTAGCTAAGCTTAATAAGGACCGGGCTAGGCAACATCTCGACAAAGCCGAGCAAACAGGTACCTCGGCTGACCACGCCTTTCCGGGCGCCGGTCACTTAACTTGACTGGCTTCGCCTCCGTCAAACATGTAGCTTGGTCCAACCAAGCGTTGCCTTAACCGAGCAACTTCTTTCCAAACTGGGTCACACATCCTCGGCCCAACACTCTGTTTGGCCCAAATCTATCCGGCACAACTCTGTCCGGCCCAAATCTGTTCGGCCTAACTCTGTATTATTAATCTCCCTCTCATTAAGGTTGTATTTATATTTATAAATTCAAAATAAAATAATTGTAACTAATAGAACAACTCAAATTTACATATGATAATTTAAAAATGAATTTACAAATTCTATTAAGACAAATTTGATAGTTAATTTAAATCCTTCATTTTATGTTTTACATTTGTATAAAAATAATAATAAAATAATTCTCTCATTACTCTATCTCCAAATTTAGTCACAATATATCCATAATAACAAACTCTCCTATATTTTTATAAACAAAATGAATGGAAACTCTAAAAAATAAATTCTAATAATTCTAAATTGTGTGGGGCCTCATCTGATGTGATATTTTGACCTTGTATTTTTTTTTTTTTTTTTGTATTTATTTTCTACATCACTAGAGCTCAATTAGAATTCTAATTTTAAGAGGATGAATCACTACTGTTTTTATAAAACGTAAAGTCAATTAACACAAATTCTTTCCTTTGAAATTCATCTATTCAAACCAAATCTTAGTTGAATTATGTTGAGAAAATAGAATTGCTTTCAATAAGAAACATAAGTTGACCTACCCGACTTAATTGAATTTGAGCAATTAGCATTTTTCTATACAAATGAACTTTCTAAATTGAACATCCAAATTAAAATTTTCCACTTAGCCTTTTCTTTTTCTTTTTTCTTTTTTTTTTTTTTTTTTTTTTTTTTTTTTTTTTTTTGTGGACGGTTGGTACCCATCTCCATCGGTCTGATAGTAACAAAGAAAAAGGACACAAAAAAAAGGGAAAAATAAAAGGAAATTGGTGAGGCACAAATACAAAGAATGCGTATTCCACATGGCACTACTTGATAATTTATATGAAAGTGAAATATTCTCTTCTTTGAAGAAAAAAAGAATTTAAAAAACAAAAAAAAAAACTCAGGATAATTTTGGTTTAGTTTTCAAAACATGATTTGGATCAAAAAATAAAAAAGTTTGTTCGGCTAACAAACTTTTAAAATACAACTTAAAACTCAATTTTCTCTCTACTCTCTTCTTCTCTTTTTTATTTTATTTTATTATTAATAAATCAATAAATCACTTTTTCTCTCTCTACTCTCATTCTTTTATATTTTACACATCAATCAATTAAATTTTCTTTAAACCCTTCTATTCAACTAAAAAATAAAAAATAGAAAAAATTACAAATCATTCTAAAACTACTTTCAAAACTCATAACCAAACAAATTTTTAACTTTCAAACTTTTTTCAACAACTTATCTTTCAAAGTACAATTCAAAACTCATTTTAAAAATTAAACCAAATGAAACGCAAGTTTTTGGATCCATGTTTTCCCTGCCACAGTTACAAAAGATGCATAAAATTTTAACTCATGAAGCCACCATCTGAAAAGAACAACCAAAGTTGCTATAATCTAAAAAAGTTCACAATTTTTGGAGTTTTTTTTTTAAAAAAAAATTATTGATAATAAATGCACTGAGAAATACAATAGAAATACATCAATAAAACAGAGCTGAGGCCGAGGCAACACAATGAAGAATCATAACAAAATATTCAAAGGAAAGGTTCACAAATACAATTTGTGTATAGAAATCACAACAAAAATGATGTGGTAGTGGTAATTTGAATTTAACGTACTTTTGGTATGATAGTCATAATTTTTTGTTCATATTTTATTCACCATCCAACATTGAATTGCTGACAAATGTAAATGTAGAACTCATTATATCAGTATCATATAAAAAATGAGAAAATAACAACTCAGTTGGAGGATGGGAAAAAAAATCAAATTAATGATAAAGTTTATAAATTTTAATTATTAAAGTCATATACTTTTTTATTTGTGTAAATAGTTTTGAACAGTTGACCTAATTTATAATTTCTCCTAAAAAATAAACAAATTGTTATTGAAAAATAGTCGCTCTAATATTATTCAAAATAATAATGCCATATTTATTATATTTTTGTTAACATAATATTAATATAATAAATTTCACTCCTCTTAGTATATTACATTGACTTCCCTGGAAGTTTGAAAAAAAATACAATGGATCATATAAATTTGACATAATTACACTAAATTCCCTTACATTATGTTTGATTGGAGAATTTGAAAAGAGAAAAAGAAAAGATAGGTGACAAATGAATAAAATATACTTACATTTCACCTAATTTCATTTTTCTTTCCAAATTCCTTCTTGAATCCCCTAATCAAACACAACATTAAGGTTTTAGTTCATATAACATCTAGCCCCTTTTTTATCAAAAATTTATTAGTTGATGATGTCATCTATTTTATACTGAAATTTACATTTTACTTTATGTATCTTTGTGTGTTCATACTATTTGTATTAATTTTAGTGTCTTTAATCTTATTAAAATAAAGGATAATATAATTATGTTAAAACTGAAAAACTCGTTTGATGGCCTTGAGACACCACATGGCAATGTTTCCACCAATCATCAAATGTCATGCTCTCTTATTATTTTTCATCACTCAATCTTAAATCTTGAACCCCACTTCTTCTACCAATTACAATATTCCTGAAACACTACCAAGCCATTCTTCAAATAACTTCTCATATTGGCATTACTCTAATTAAAGAACATATTCCACATATTTTCATATCAACTCAACCAACCCAGACTTGTCAAATAGGTTTAAGTTATCAGTATTCTCATCTTGGTAATCATGTTTTTATTATCAAAGAACATATTCCACATATTTTCATATCAACTCAACCAACCCTAACTTGTCAATAAGTTTGAGGCGTCATTTGAAAAATGGGTTAAAAATTATTTCCAAACTTTTAATCTATTTTGAATTACATCATCTCTCACATTTTTTACATATTTTAAAAAAAAAATTAAAAAAATAACTTTTAACCATCTTCTCAAAACATCCCTAAATTATCAATATTCTCAACTTGGTAATCGTGTTTTTACTACTTTCTCTATCCCAAAATAATAATTCTTTTGAAAAATCTAATTTTTTTGATAATACAATTATTACTCTTTAAAAATATTAATTTTTCAAAATTATCCTTTAACAGTACATTTTTTAAAAAATATCAATTTTCATAATTATACTAATTATACTTTTTGTATTGTTAATGAATTTTAAAAAAGAATAAAATAAAAAAAATCATATTATTTTAATTCTTAATTTTTTTAAATAATTAATATTTTAAAATAAAAAAATAAAAAAATTAGGATAAATTTAAAAAAATGAGTGAAATGTAGTTTAAAATTTATTTAAATAGATTAATGTCAATAGTTTTATTTTTTTTTAAAAAAATTATTCAAAACTTGTAGCATTTTGGCGACTTGAACCACAATTCAAAGTTCAAATGAGGGAATTTAAAATTTTAGCATTTTCATGTAATGGGCAAATGGAATAAAACTAATTATCATGCAACCCTACACATTAATTGGGATCATTGAAATATTAGTATTCAAAAGAACATGTGACACATATTAATCTTAGAGAGTGAGTTGTCCATTACCATCTCTATATAGTGACAACTGAGGATGCGTGTCTCGGATCTTTAGAATGATACCACGGCGAAAAAAAATATATAAAAGAAGATGATTAAAAAGTACTTTTTAACATTTTTATTATAAAAAAAAATAATAAGTTAAAAGCTGAAAAATAAATTTTAATCCACTCCCCAGAAGAGCCGCTCAACATTTCCCCCAAGATCAACCGTCTCCGTCAACTTCAATGCAAAATGCAACTTGTACAAACAACCAAACAAAACTCACATCTCATCCCAATGTCTAGAAAACCCAAATAAAAATCACCTCCACATTCAATCATCACCGTTCAAACCATCTCACGGTCACAAAACAATCTCACACACACGCACACCCAAATTACCAGATAAACCCCTCCCACCAAGAAACCGCCCACCATCCACATGACAACCGAGGGCGGCTGACCTAATTGATGAATCCGAGAACCAAGACACCTTAGCTTTCCATCAGCCAATCACAACCATACACGTACTGAATCCGACAAAGCGAACGACTCCTATGCCGGCCGCCTGGGGACCCACTGTCCCTATGTTACATACACCGTTCATAAGTTTCTATAAATAGAAAGTTTCATTGCACTAACATTACATAATTAGGTAATTTCTATTTATTTCATTTTCCATATACGGACACCCTCCGATTTCCAAGGAGTTACAATATTGTCATTTCCCTCACTAACCCCTACCACAAAACAGTATTTACATTATAACCCAAAACTTATGTATAAAAAAAATAAAAAAAAAAATACTATAAACCACTCTACCAAACAGAGCACCCTATATAAATATATATTTTTCAGCTAAAACTTATATTATTTTTTTGATTTTCACCCATCAGTCCTTTCACATTGTCTTATTCTCACTCTTGCCCTTCTATTTCGATCATATTTCTATCGGCTGCTTCTATATATACAACACACTGGCCTTTTTGGTAAAAGCACTAGTGTCGATGGGGGGATGAGGGGCCATTCTGATAGCTAATAAGTGTCGTTGGGGTCTCAGAGTAATTTTCAGTATTCTATGATGAGTCCTCCCATTGGGGCTCTGTGGGGAATACCCTTTCTTCGCTTGGCTGTTCTGTAATTAACAACAGTTGGTGGCGGCGTTGACGGAGTGAAGCTCTGGACCTTGTTGCTGCTGTTGCTCTTCTGCCGGCCATGGCTGCTACTGCAATAAGAACCCTCCGAGTCCGACGACGCCATCATCGCCGGCTGCTTCTTTCCCGGAAAATGCTTCTTTTTCTTTTCGAAATTTCCTGATGTCCCAACAATCTGTCATCAATAATTGCAAAAAAAATTAATGATCAAATCAAATCAAGATTGACCCAAATAAATACACAATTCAATGCATTATAATACCATTCTGTGGTGATCACTATACATTTTTTTTTTTTTGATTTATGGAAAGATCCAAACTTCCATACTTAGAAGAATGTAATTTGGGAATTAATTACATTATTGAGTAACCAATTCAGTTCTGCTACAAACTCAGAAATAACACACACAAGGAAAATACAAAATATACATGAACACAGACAGAAAGGAACAAACTTTCATTGAAAACAATGAAGATGAGGATTTTGTGGGCAATACCCGATTCAATTTCTTGGGAATTTAATAAATTTTACTGCTAAAAGACACTAAAAACTAGGAAGAATTGATATTGATGATGACATTGTATGTAGTGTACCTTGCAACCGAGAGAGCAAAATCGGAAGGAATCGAGGAGGCTGCGCTCACAGACCTCGCAGGTGTTGGTGACGCCTTTGCCGGGCCTCGGCTGTGGCCTCTCATTCAGGAACACTACCTTTGCACTGTTGATAATGTAGGTCTGAACTGATGTGATGTCCAAATACTTCTGAATCTCCGAAACCCTGATCACATCATGGTATGATGATCTCCTTATCTGTGTCAAAAACAAACAGACCAAATCCCAAATCTCAATCTAAAATCCATAACCCTTTCAACAAAAATACAGAGCAGAGGCATTGAGTCAACAATGTAAAACAGGGGAAGACTGATTAAAGCCTGTGGCTTTTACCTATCCAAACCAAAAAAAAAAAAAACTGAAATTTTTTGGGATTTCTTAAAGAAGAGGGAAAGTGATGGAAACCGAGGGAAAACAGAGAATCAAAAGATTCAATTGCTAAAAAAAGATGAAAAGACGGAGCATTTTTTGTGATTCCAAAAGAAGGGAGAGAGCGAGTGATAAAAAAGCTGTAATTTGACAAAAATAGTTGAAACCCAGATGCTAAAAGTAGGAAGAATAAAAGGGTTTTTGAGTATTGAGCAATGAGTATGAAACCTGAATGGCACGGTGGTCTTTGTGGTATCCAAGACACAGAGAACAGAGAGGACCATTCATACAATCCAAGCAATACATATTGCATTCACTCTTGTGTGAATCTGCATGTAACTTGCATTGAACGAAGAAGCTCTCTCGAAGCAGAGGCTTCAACCATGGCGGCCACATGTTGTCTTCTTCATCAGGTCCACCAGCTCCCTACACCAAAACACAAAAATCCCATTTCAAAAACAGAGCAATTAGCCCAAAAACCCAGAACAAAAAATCCGGGAAAACGAGAGAAAGTGCGAGAAAACAATAGAAAAAACAGTCCACCCTACCATGATTCGCCTGTTCTTGGGCTTGATTTCACGGACACTGTTTTCTTGATTGTCGATCGCCAGTTTGAACAAAGCAGAGTGAGAGTGCTCTGGTTTTTTCTCCTATGAATGTATGGGTTCAAGAGAGAGAGAGAGAGAGAGTAGAGAGAGAGAGGGCTTTGGAAGTGGAGAGGCGGTGAAGAAGAGGGAGGGTTTTCTTGTATATGAAAGAGAAGAGAGGAGTGGGTCGTTCTTATCCGAACAAAGTCTACAACCGAACCTAAGTCCGAACCAAACCAAGAGATACGTTGTGTATAAGGAACCAACCTCCTTCTTTCCTTTATATTTCCTTTCATTTTCATTTCATTTGGGTTTTTTTTTTTTTTACTTTATTCATTGGAGTCTTATCATATTTGTTTTCATTTTTCAATTCCACATATTAAAGCTTTTATTCTCATTCATTAATAGTTATTAAAACTTTTTTATTCTATTATTATTATTTCAATAGTGAATTGCCACGTTATTACTTGGCATATTTTGCACCATTCCTCCATCTTGATAAAACCCATTATTGCTTTTTGGTTTTCCTTTTCTTTTTCTTTTTTCTTTTTTTTGCCTAAATTCTCCTCTTTTTCAAAAAAATAAATAAATAAAAAATATTCAATTTCTAGTTGGTGTCTTTGGCTCAACCAAACAAATCCACTAACAAAAATCTTCAATCTATTTGGGAAGTAAATTAAAAGTTGAGTTTTTATTTTTTAAAAAGAAAATGTATAAAAAAAATAGAGAGATGTAATTCAAAAAAAATTTAAAAAAATACTTTTAATCATATTCCCAAAATAACTCATAAAAGTCATTTTTCTTGTTAGTATCTGAATTTCATTTTAGATGTTTCTCGATTTCATTAATGTGTTAAATCTACAAAGATTTTTTTTTCAATTAATTCGGGTGCATGGGAGTAAAATGAAATATTGGTCTCCACTTTTATTTTTACTATGCAATGTAAGTTATATGCACTTTTTTCTTGGAAAATGTAAAAGAAAAAAAATACAAGTCAACTTTAATTAATGTTGTGTGAATTGGTACAACACACCTAGTCATCCAAAAAAAAATTACGATGACCAACTTTTAAAAATGTATGTAGGTTATAACTTCATTTGAAAAATGATGATAGTGGTTTTCATTGTCCAAAAGAGAAAAAGGATAGGAATATATAAAGAAATTACTAATAGAACTTTTAATCTAAATCAAAAGGAGTTTTTTTTTTTTTTTTTTTTTGGTTTTCTTTCAAGTGCATCATGACATTTTAAAAAGCCATCGAGTTAGTGGTGATCATCTAGAAAAGATAAATGTGATCCACATGAATCTAAATATTAATGAAAATTACTAAATAATTGTAATATTTAGGACAAAGGAAGAAATGAAATATTTAATTGGGTAATCCACTCCACCACGAATGGAAATATTGGAATCAATTATTTGTGAATTTAAAAAAGAAACAAGAAACGAAAACATAAAGAAGATAAGAAAATAAAAATAAAAATAAAAATTGATTAAGGTAAGTTTTTGGTGATGACTTATGACTAGTGCAGGAAATGAGTCGAATTAAATTTTAGTAAATTTAGGTTTTTTTTTATTAAAATTTTAATTAATTCAAACTCGAAATCAATAAAAATTTAATGAATTGAACTCGAGTCGAATTGGCTTAGACCTGACTCGAATTCGAACATGTTCATAAATCTTAACAAGCCAAACAAATTATAAATTTATTTTTGCATATAAGACTAAAGTTACAATTAAAATTTTAATTATACAATTATATATACAATATATATGAACATATTTAAAAAATTCAATATATTATCAAAATAATATCTACTACCACTATTATATAAATATATCATCTATTATTTACATATAAATAAGTTTAGCTATTATGTACATTATTTAAATATATAAATAACATATTTATCTTATTTTTTTATACATATTTACATTATTTAATATATTAATCTTATTATTTAAATAAATGTTAAATGCGGTTTGGGTTGTTTGGGATGATCTAAGTGTACTTTTTATCTTTTTACGAAAAGATATGCAGAAAAATAGAGAAGTGATGTGATAGAAAAAAAATAAATAGATGGATTATATAGGTGATGCCAAACCACCCTAATAAGCTGAGTTTTAGTTTGTTTAGATTTATTTATTAAAATTTTAAAATTTTAATAAAAATTTAATAAAGTGAGTTCGAACGAACCCTTATCAAATTGAACTCGAATCTATTTACAAATAGTGCAAAATTTGAATCTGCTTATAAACAGTCCTATTTATTTGCAGCCATACTCATGACTGTTCTTGTCCTACAGAATTAGATTAGGGTTATGAATCTGAAAAAAAAAAAAATGAATTAGGGTCGGTTTGTTCTTGTCCTTCTTGAAAAAAGGATAGGGTACATTATACCAACAATTGTGTTGGGACATGTTCCTAACCTGAAGTATGTGTTTAGAATATGAATTTTGATAGAAATTTAAAAGGAAAAAAAAAAAAAGTGTCATATATAATTATATTTTATTTATTTTTATAAAAAAAATTATTTAGATTAATGATTCAAACACCATCTAAATGAATTGAGTCATGTCAAATACTTTGTTAGAAATACTTGAAAATTTAAAATATTTTAAAATATTTCATGTTTCACTCTCTTTTTCTTTTAGTGAATCTCAATCGAGTTAAGTTAGAATAACATAATTTTTTTATGGGAAAATGGCTCATACACCCACTGGGGGTCGACTCCCAGTGAGGTGGCAGTCCATAATTGGACCAAAAAAAAGCTGTTTTTTTTTTTTTTTTTTTTTGGGTTTCGGCCAGTGGGGGCGCGACACCTCACTGGGGGTGCGACCCCACTGGGAGTACGCAGCAGGATTGTTTTTTATGACACAAATAATTGAGTAAAGTATTAAGTTATTCAGACTTAGGTCTCGTTTGCAAAGTGACTTTTTTAGTCAAAAAGTTAAAAAGTCATTAAAAAAATCCAAAAACCAACAACCCATACCAAAAAGTCAAAGATTCTATTTTCTCTCTAATTTTTGCACATCTTTTCGTAAAAAGCTAAATAGTCATCCCAAACATACTAGTTTTTTTTACATCACATTTTAGCTAAAAAATTAAAAGTTACTAAAAAAAACCTGTTACCAAACGAGGCATTAGTTTGAACCTTGAACAAATTGGCGTACTTATCTATTACAGTCAACATTTAATGGATTATCATGGTTTATTTATCAAAATTAGAGAGGTAGGCACATTATGTGTGAGAATTAATTTTCTTTTTTTTTTAAAATGACAATTATTCAGGATTGATTTGAGAATAGGTTATTTTAATAATTTTTTATCTAAAATATGAGGTGAAAAAAATTAGTGTGTTCGAAATATTTTATAATTTTTTATGAAAAAATATGTAAAAAATAGAAAGAGAGGATAAGAGCTATTACGTAAAAAGCATTTTGAAAAGAAAAAAACTGTAACAGTTTTATGCTAAGAAGAATTACACACTTTATATAATAATATAATAATATAGATAAGTAATTAAACATAGGAAAAATTATTTATAAGTTTTATTAGGGAGACTTATGTTATATATGATCCTACTAAAAAATTTATGTTCTCATAAGTCTTGTGAGAAGTTTGTTGACACATTTGCCCTCAATATTAGTTGTTAATATCATAAATAATAGTAAAACCATATATAAGAAATTAAATGCTACCATAGATCATATCTATATAAACGCAACATAACGTGACACCTACATAAACGTAATGTGACACCTATACGTAACGTGATCCCTACATAAACGTAACGTGACACCTATGATCTATAGTAACATGCAATTTACCATAGTTCATATCTACATAAACGTAACGTAACGTGTCACCTACATAAACGTAACGTGACACCTATGATCTAGGAAATTGAACGTTGCCATAGATCATATCTATATAAATGTAACGTAACGTGACACTTACATAAACGTAACGTGACACCTATGACCTATGGCAACATTCAAGGAAATTGAATGATGAATGTTGCCATAGATCATATTTATATGAAACGTAACGTGATACCAACATAAGCCAACAACATTTTCACATTCAATTTAAAAAAAATAAAAACTCATTAAGTTTACGAAACGTAACGTGACACGTTACCTTACGTTTATGTAGGTGTCACGTTATGTTACGTTTATATAGATGTCACGTTACGTTATGTTTCGTTTATGTAAGTGTCACGTCACGTTACGTTTATGTAGGATCTTGTGGTATACATGCATATCTAAATAGGACTTGAGACTCTATAAAAAAATTATACAGGACTTAGTCTAGCATAAGTGTCTGAAAAATGACTTATAAATAAGTCTCCCTTAAACATATAAATAAAAAACAAATAAAAATGTCCATTTTAATAACCTTCTTCTTTCATTTTGAGTATTTTTTTTTTTTTAAGACTATTGATTTTAATTCTAAATCGTAATCGTCAGTCCCAACTGTTATAAAAAAAATTTATTTTGTTTGGGTTATTTTGAAAAGTAGGTTAAAAGTTTATTTTTTAATTTTTTTAAAAAATATATATATAAATAAAATGGTGATGTGACCCAAAATAAGTTAAAAGTCAAAAGGTGAGGATTGTTTTGAAAAGTTAGTTAAAATTTGATTTTTTGATTTTTTAAACTTTTTTTTTAAAATGTGTAAAAAAAAATAGAAAGGTGATGAGACTCAAAAAAAAGTCAAAAAATAAAAAAATTAGCTTTTAATCAGGTTGCCAAAACAAAAAACACTTTTTTTTTTCCAAGTGAAAAATTAAAAATATTAACCTCGGAATGTTTACATAGTTGTTGTTTGGAGCCTACTTAATAAATAACATAACAACTTATAATAAATAAATAAATAAGTTGCTTATTTTTAGCAGATTCCAAAATAGTGAGAAACTCATTATAAATCATGTGAATGAATGATATCCTTATGTTCCAAAATAATAGTTTCTTTTGAAAAAATTAAGTTTTTTTGATAGTACAATTATTGTATTTAAAAAAATAATTTTCTAAAATTATCCTTTTTTTTAACAGAAGAGGAATTTCCAGTAAATTAGCTAAACAGCACTTACAAGGAGAGGAATCCATTCAAAATAAACTTACACCATCAAAGGAAAGATGAAAATCAAAGAAAACACAGGA